CTGAGGTTACTGAGCTGAGTTATGGGAAAACTTTGGCACAGCTAAATGCTATTGAACTATCTAGTATATCGTATTGCCAATGAACCACTCCACCGAGGATGAGCGATGAGCGACTGCGATAGCGTGGCTATCCTAGCCGTTCGCAACCGCTCGCGTCGGAGGCGGTATAACCACATGATGGGCGAAAGGCACAATAAAAAAGTGAGAAAACTCCGATTACATTTGAGGTAAGTCTATCACTATCGAATCCAAGGGTAGAATCTGCCTGTACTTAAGTGAAAAAAAGAAAATGAGCACAATTGGTTTCTATAAAAAGACTAGAACAACGTACAAAGTATGCAATTCCTATCAAACCGGGAGCAACTAAGAATGCCTAGGACTAGGAAACTGTATAAGGATCCATAAGTTCTTTCCCTATTAACGTGGAAATATCAAACAATCAACGTAAATACATCCCTCAAGCATGCTGAGCAACCGCTTGAGCCTCTGTCTGTTCCAGTGACGCAAATTTCACAAGTACTTTCCCTTTGGGCACATTTTTACCAGGTGCGCACGATACAGCGGCGACTTTACAGTGAGCAGGAGCCCTGAAATTGAGCTTCAGGAAAAACTGAAAAGTAACGAAGAGAAGCAGTGTCTCCTGATCATTCAGAGCGAATTGGACCTTCGAAAGGCATTTATAGTTCCAAAGACGAGAGAGCGTGGCTTCGTACTTCACTTGAACATGGCGTCTTTCGTGGGATATTCCCCTTAAGACAATTGACATCTTTTGGGTTGGATAAAGATTACATTCATCATTACTCTTATCTGAAAACGGCGACGTTCCAGGAAAGGCGATAATATCCCACAGTTCAAATGCAGAACTCAGCCACGCCTCCCCCTACCTCCGGGATATAGAATACAGAAAGGTGTTTCCCTTATCATCTATGAGGTCGAGGGTGGCAACGGAACTTCAAAGCCATCCCGTGAATTGACCGAAAACGAAAAAAAAATTAGAGATCACCTTATAGTGTATTCCATCTTCATCGCAGTCATCACTACAAGAGGCTGACCGTGTTGAACCTTAAATACAGCAGTTATTCCGTTATTAGCATGAATTAAAAAAACAGTAAAAACATCCATCAGAAGCTCATTATCAGTCCCTACCTCATCCCCTTCCTTTACAAGAACCTTCTCAATAATTCCAGGCATTGGCGCATGAGACGACTGGATATCTCCTGCACCTACCGTACTACTCTCCTCGTCAAAACTTGCCAATGACATGTCATACTCTGCTTGTCCAGAACCGCAAACCTGAAAAGAAGAAAAGTGTGCAAAGGATCAAATGTGCAACTTTACACTATGGTACAGCTCGTCCCTGCCGTCGGCAGACCTTGAAAAGCTCACAAAATTCGATAAGGCATGCAATATTCATGATAATGTAATGAAGAGATTAGTCAAGGAGCAGAAGGTAAGTTTTCTCGTAGTGCCATTTCCCCCCCCCCCTTTTAGCCGCAGGGCTCAAAAAATCCTGGCAGTGCTATTAGAAATCACTCATGAAAGCTTTCTTATCCGACTCAGAGGTTCTTTAGATAATAGCAGAAAAGTATACCAGGTTTAAAGAAGCGACACTCTCGCTGATAGCCACCCTGTAGAAAAAGGAAGTTACAGCCATCCGGTCCCGATATCGCTTATCTAGTTGTTTGCATTCTGCACCTCGTGTTCCAATATCTATGATCACTGAACTAGTCAGCGTTCTTTATCAACAAATTAGCGCTGTATGACAAACGCCCGTGTGATGAGTTTACTACTTCAGCCGTAGGCTGATCAGAGAAGCAACATTTCGGCGTTATCGCTCGCACATTTTGAATACAAGCAAAGACAGTTGGCCATAGGTTTCGTTCGAGGATGAAGGGGCGTGCCATGCTGGCTGGGTTTGGCGCGGCTTCAAAACGCTCTCTAACACATTTGAAGCGGGTAACGACTATAGCTGGTGGAAAATGACTGATACGACGATGACACAGTCTTGTCGCTTGCTTGCTTCAGAACTGGTGGAAAAACGGGTTTGGCGCCGAGCCAAGATCACTGCCGGCAGCAACTATCATGTTGTCAAGACCTACTGTCATGAGGAACCTGCAAGATTTGATGAAAGACTCAGTGATGCTCTAAAGTTCTCTGTAT